CGGCAGGGCGGGGGGTTTTCGGCTTTCCGGGCCCTGCCCCGCCACTCGTCGGACGGCGGGCGCCTGGATGCGTGTCGCTCAACGCGTGGACCCACCCTGCCCTGATTTTGCGCGGGACACGCAGAACCAGGCAGGGTGGGTCTGTGCATTGAGTGCCTTGCCCTTATGACACAACTTACCCCTTGCTGCAATGCACACACAGACACACACACACACACTTACACACACGTGCATCCCCATTCCGCCAGGCAATACGACGAGTACATCGCCAACGTGGACATCAGGACCGAGTACGTGGATGACAAGAGCAACCACCAGAGGGTGATCTACAAGTTCAGGTGCCGGGGGACGATCTGTTTTGGGGGACGACCGGAATCGAGGTGTTTTGTGTATATGTTGCCAACAGTGTGTGTGTGTGTGAGAGAGAGAGAGGGGGGGGGAGAGTGCGAGGATTTGGGCCCCAACCACAAGCCCTCCTCAAGGCTCCCGCCACCACACACCCCCCTGAGAATCCCTCTCGAGCCCCCTCCTCCTCTGCAACTTCCACCATGTACAACATTCTTTCCGCAAACGGTCAATGTTGTTGCACACACTGATGACGTCACCACCTCCCCCCTCCCCCAGGCCCTACGTCTTCGAGGGCATCGACACCATCGAGATCAAAAACGCGACCCTCATGCCCCAGCGCGTGGTGGATGACATCATCAAGACCTGCCTGCCGGGCCACGCCTACAAGGTGGAGATTGGGCTCATGGACAAGGTCCGAGAGAGGATCGAGAAGTGGTGGGTGGCGGCGCTGATGATCTCTTACACACGCACCTAGCGTCACACACACACGGTACATACCCCCGCGCGCGCACACACACACACACACACACACACACACAGTACACACATGCGCGCGCGCACAAACAGTGCGTGCACTCGCGCGCACGCGTGCACAGTGCCAGAGGGTTTGAGGGTTTGAAATTTGGGGGCGTTGAGGGTGCGGCGGCTGTGCATGAGGCGAGGGCTGGGAGGCGGCCAGGGAGTGGTGGGTGGCCGTGTCGGGGCTCTTGCAGGGAGCAAGGCATCGACCGCCGCCAGTCCTCCGCGCGCCTCCCCCCCTCCCACATACACACGCATACAACCATTGCGCGCCCGCGCTACTCGATTGCCCCCCCCCCATCCCTTTGAGGCCACGCGCCTTCACCCTCCCGCCCCCTCACGCTTCTCTCGCTATCCCCCCCCCCAAAAAAAAAACAAACCTCTCCCCGGCAGGTACCAGGACCGCGGGCTGCCCTTCTGCTACGTGGGCTACTTTGATGGGATGGAGGAGGGAGTCCTGCGCGCCAACGTGATAGAGGCCAAGATCAATGACGTCGCGGTGCGGGGCCCAAGCGCGCAGCCGGCCCCCCCTGGCCCCTCCAGATCTGGGCCCGCGAACCAGATTGCATCAGATTAGATCAGGCGCAGGAGGCTCCGAGCGGGGCCCACGGTCCCGGCCCCGCATTCTTGGATTGATGGTTGCGAGGCAGCAGGGGTTTTTGCCGCTCGCAGTGTGTCGACATCGCCCCCCAACCTCCCTCCGATCCAGCAGGACCCTGGATTTTCCTAACAACAAACCAACACGCCTCCTAAAACAGCCCTCCCGCAAACAACTCCCCCCCTTG